CTACAGGAAATGCATGTCTGGGCGCTGGAGGTGGGGCTGCTCCGGCGGCGTGTGGTCAGCGCCGGGGCGCGCAGCAGCCTGCCGCCTGCCTGCCTGCCTGCTTTTGCGGAGCTGGATTTTGCAACGCCGAGCGGCAGCGCGTCCAGCCCTGGGGAAACTAGCTCCGGCCGTCCCGCCTGCCCCCGTGGCGAGGGGCGCTCGGGAAGGAATCCGGCTCCCTCCTGAGATCTCAGCATGGAAAATGGGACTTCCTGGTGGAGGGGCTCCTGGCTGCATGCTCAGCACTGGCACAGCGGTGCCCACCCCAGCGCCAGCCACATCACAGAAGGGTGCCCCAGCAGTGCTGGAGCAGTGCCTTTGCCTCCATCGGAGACCCATCCAGACCCGCTGCACCCCCTCACCACTGCTGCTCCCCAGCGCCTTCTTGTCCTGCCAGGCAGAGCAGCAGCGATGCAGGAGCATCCATCCTGCCAGCCGGCACCCTTGGGTCCCCGCTGGCTCCCTATGTCCCATGAGCAGGGAGACCACAGGTCTTTCCACTGTCAAGAAGTGACCACGGGAGGAGAGCAGAGGGGATCAGCTCCCATAATGGGGACCTGGATCTCAGCTCGCTGGGGAAAGGGTCCTGGAGTCCCCCATCCCAAAGGAGACCTTGGCAGCTTGGCCACGAAATGCAGACACACACACAGGCTCCTTCCCAGAGCATCTACTCAGCACCCAGCAGAGAGGTGAGCATCGGCACCTCGCCGCCGGCCAGACCACGACCCACCTCGGCAGCTGCTGGGGCAGACAGGGAACTGGGAAACAAGCTCTGGTGCGTGTGTCTGCGCGGGCGTCTCCTAGGCCCCCGCAAATGGGGCAAGACCAAACTGGGGATGGCAACGGCTGCACGAACCAATTATTTCAAGAGCTGTTTCAACAGTTCCCCCCTCTCCTCTGCAGCAAAAGGGGAACCAGGGGCTGCAGACACTCTGCCTTCACAAGCCTATTTCTTCTCTTGGCTCTTCTCAAAGCTCATAACAAATTTCTGGTGGCACAAGTGAGGGTAGGAACACAGATATGGGGACTTTCCAGAGCCCATGTCCAGCCACGCATTTCCACACTGAAGCTCTCTCTTGGCACAGTCATGGGATAGGGGGTTTCTCCCACAACATCAGGACTCTGTACACAGCAGCCAGGTCCCCAGGGCAGGGGAAAGCCCCCCATGCCAGAGGAAAGCCACCTTCCACCCAGCCCCTGCCCTCAGCACACAGATTTGGGGCAGGAGGCAGCCACGCTGGGCTGTAAGGATGTGGGGAAAAAGGCAAGGGCAAAGCACCACCCTGCCCTATGCCAAACCCTACAGCAGCCAAGGAGAGAGGCTGGGCCACCTCCCTGCACAGTGACTTTGACCTCTGCCAGGGCACTCACATTTTCAAGGCTAGAGGACAGAGGGACGGACTGCATTTGCACTCAGCTGCTGAGGGCTCCAGCCTCAGTCACAGCCACCCCAGGAGCTTGGAAGAAGGGATGCCCTGCTAGAAACCCCCTCCAGGCCCTAAGCCAAGAGATGCCACCTTCAAGCACGGAAAGGCAGAGACAGCAGTCCACCTCCCCAGAGAACAGCGATGGGGCTGAGCCAGGCACCCCTGGTCACCCAGACACAGGGATCAGCACACAACCCTGTGCTCATCTTGAGCCTGGAAGCACAGAGATTAAAGCTGTCAGCCCCAAACTGGGGGTATTCAAAGGGCACTCAGCTAAGCTCCAAGGTAAGCAGCTGCAGATAAAGAGATTGGAGGCAGAGTGGCACTGAGCTTTAATGCTTTCCAATCCTGTTAGCTCCAGGACAGTGCAGGGCCAGCACTGAGCTGAGATGGCCACTTGAGAACATTTCAATGCCTGCATCTAGTCTGAATGGCTTCCCTGTCCACGCTCGGTCAGTCCTGGGAAGCACACTTTTGGCAGCACCCCCCAGGGCCTCCCCACCCACCACCTTATTTCCCCAGGGTCACCCTTCATTTTCCTTATCAGCCCCCAGAGAAGGACACAACAACATTTCCACCAACAAACCCCTGTGCCAGGTCTCAGGGACTGTGGCCAGCTCACCCCAGGGGCTGTGGCCAGCTCATCCCAGGGGAGAACTAAACTGAGATGAGGGGTCCAGAGCCTGGGTGGTTTGCACCCAGCCCCAGGACACTGTTCCTGCATGGGGAAGCAGCAGGATGGCCTCTCTCCACGGAGGGAGCACAGCCCTTGGCTGGCCAGTGGGGTGCAGAAGGGCTTGGACAGGCCCCCCATTCGCGGCCACCACGGCTGGGTGCCCAGAGCAGGCT